AAAGTGGCTTCAGTTACAATCTTTACCTTACTTTGAAAGAAAAAGTTGTAGAAAACTAAAATTTTATAAGAGTAAATATTAAAAACAATGACAATTTGGGCAAGAAAATTGACAACATCAAACGATGCAATGAGCTGTACTGTTGATAATACAAAATTTCTTTCCCAACCTAAAACTCGGACATTTTATGGTCAAATTATCTTGCATGCAAAGGTCAAGGCAGTTACACTAATTAATAAGTAATTATTCAGATTATAACACAGATTTGTTTATTTTGCAACAATAAACCTTTTTCAACTTTTCCCTTAAGGGACTTTATTTAACAATATGAATGTATAGCAATTAAATTTTACTATTCACTAATGTGTGTACACTAAATATTTTTTTCAAACTTTGGATTGTTTCACACAAAACTGGGTATTAAATGAGATATCCAATAATAAGCATAACTTAATATTATTCTTTCAATTATCACATTATTGGTTATTGGAGAAACATGCCTGTAAGCATTTTAAGTATTGTTTCTAAAATTCTAGAAAAAGCTGCCTATAAGCAACTTGAAAAATTTTTGATTTCAAATAATTTATTATTTGAGTTTCAATCAGGATTTAGAAGTTCATATTCAACTGATTCTTGTCTCATTCACTTGATAGATCACATTAAAGCTCAAACAGCCAAAGGTCTTTTTACAGGCATGGTCCTATTAGACCTACAGAAGGCATTTGACACAGTAGATCACAAGATATTATGTGACAAATTAGAAGTAATTGGGGTTAGATCTATACCTTGGTTTGAGTCATATTTGACAAACAGAAAACAGGTTGTAAGTGTAAATGGGGTGATTTCAGAAGTGTGTAATATTACATGTGGTGTCCCTCAAGGTAGCTTACTGGGTCCACTTTTGTTTTTGATCTATGTCAATGATGTTCAAACTAGCATCGACTCATATTGTAAAGTTTTGATATATGCAGATGATACTGCAATTTTATTTTCCCATATAGACCCTGGGGTCATCTTGCACAAATTATCCAGAATGCTGGAATCATGCCATGATTGGTTAACTGACAATAAATTGTCCCTACATTTGGGAAAGACGGAGAGTATAATTTTTGGTCCTGCTCGAAAACTTCGGTCTTTAATACCGGGTGATTTTGCTATCTCCTGTAATGGTATTAATATTGAATCCAAAACTTTTGTAAAATATTTGGGAATAATAATTGATCAGTTTCTAACTGGTGATTTTATTGTCAACTCTATAGTGAAAAAAGTCAATCAAAGGCTTAAATTTTTATATAGAAACAAAGAGTGTCTAAATTTTCAATCTAGGAAAACATTGTGCTCTTCCCTGATTCAATGTCATTTTGACTATGCATGTGCATGCTTAATACCACCGCAAACAAATTTTGGGGTCGTATATTGGTATAACTTTGGCGGTGTCGTCGTGGTCGTCCGCAGACACATTGGTTTTCACACTCTGACTTTAGTTTAAGTGAATGGATCTCTATGAAATTCAGGTATGAAGGTATATCAAAACAAATGAAGAATAAACTTCAAGTGGCACAAAATAAGATTGTGAGATTTATTCTGCAATTACATCCCAGAAAGAGTGTGACATATATTGAATTTAAGAAATTGGGCTTTTTAAATATTAGTTATAGAGTCAAACAACTAAGACTCAACCATGTTTTCAACATTTTTAACAATATATGCCCAAATTATTTACATACTAATTTTGTTAAAAATAAAACATCTTTCAATACAAGATCTAGTAGTAAAAACTTCTATATACCAGGAATTAAAGGGTGTGAATCCACCACTTTCTTTTATAATGGAATAAAAGACTGGAATTCGTTACCAGACATGATTAAAAGTTGCTCTAAAAAATATAATGTTAAAGTACAAGTGAAAAAGTTTTTGATGGATAAATTTAACTCCATCTTTAATAGTGAATTTGTTTTTTATTAATTATACTGGGGCTTTGACCATATATCTGTGATAATTCCAAATGATTTGTGCTTGTATTTCCTATGTGTCAACCCTTGGTGTAAACTGGAAGTCTCGTTTTAAAAGGACCCCACTGGAAATAAGTTTTAATAACTTTTGTGGTTCATCCTAAGATATTAAGCTACAGTGAAAATCTAGTCAATTTAAATTTCACTCATTATTTAATCTAATCTATTCATATTATCAAAATATCATGAAAATTTTCATAATTTTATTTTAAATTAAAATTTTTAGTAAACATGTATATCATTTTAGTGTCTATAAACTATGTCTAGTGCTATATCTGTGTCTTTCTAATATTTTGTATCTGTCAAATTCATGCCTTTTTATCTTGAATAAATATATATACATGATATATAACACGAGAAAAGGAAGAAATGAATTTTTTATCCTCTAAAAATGACTTTGAATGTTTATCTGTTTAAAAAGTATATATTTAGCAATAATACTATGAAAGTACAATAATTCTCTACTATTTTGTATATAAATAAGCTTAAAAAATCATATTACCCAGTATTACCCATTTCAGGAAGTATTTCTCAGCCCACATGGCCCAGGTAATACTTTGCCAATTCAACCCTCGGTGAAAATCAGTGCATCACCACCAATTCTTAAATGATGAGAGAGACCAATACATCAGGAGCTCTTTTCACAAAAAATGTTAAGAGTAAAAGTACTCGTAAGTCATGAACATTTCAGTATAACTTACGATCAATTTATTTTAATCGTAAGATTTTTCGTGAAAAGAGTCGCTGGGCCTTTCACATGGATGTAAACTGAAGTTTTGTATCGTTGATGAACATTACACATGTACAATACTCTTTTGTTAATCATGCTAATATAGAAATGTAGCATAATGCTACATGTTTATATATATACATGATATATATGACACATATAAACAACAAATGTTCTTTAAAAATATATATCATTTATTGTCAGATCAATATGGTTATCTCGTACCATTGTAAACTCGTACCAATGTCAACTCGTACCAATGCTAACTCGTACCACGGTAAATTCATACCATTGTAAACTCGTACCAACTTATTTAAATGCATCCAAATGGTGTTTAATGATGAATATATAGTTTAATTTCACTCAATACCTCTTAAGTCTGTAAAATGTATATAATTTGAAATTACAATGACCAATTTGTGCTAATTTTCCTTGTCTAATTGGATAGAGAAAACCGTGGCAGATTGGCTTTGTTGTCTCCCTTGAACAGACCCTTTTTTTAACTTTTATTGACAACTATTTGATTTAATTTTTAATCATTCCAAATAAGTAACATTGAATAGATTTGGGTATTTTTCTATTGTTTCTAAAAGGAATTTTATTTAATGAGAGAATTTATTTCTTGTGTTTTAAAGGTTCAAAATTGGTTATGACAAACAGTTAGAAAGTATGAAATTTATTTTTATACAATATTCAGCTAATTGTTGCACAAAATCATGAATAAGACCATGCTTTAATTCATATAATCAAAAAGTCATTATAATTTTTCCCGATTTATATACATGTATAACACCTGTAGCCGAAGATACACCTCGCTCCAGCAACAGAGGAAAGTAACTGATATATGAAAAGGCACCTGAGATCACCCTCAGTTTCAAGTGGGTTTCGTGTTGTTTTTAATTCCAAACTGTTAAATTATATAACAACAATCCAATTTAATAATATGATTAAACAAGTTGATTAGTTAATAATAACCCAATAATCATACAATCAAAGGAATTTAATATATCAGTTAGCATGGTAAGTAATTCAACTTTTTTATTAAGATTACAAAAAAAATCATAAAACATTCGTATTTTTGAATATATTTTTAATGGTACGAGTTTGCAGTGGTACATGTACGAGTTCTGAATGGTACGACTTCCAGTGGTACGAGTTTACGTTGGTACGAGTTAACTTTTTTGGTACGAGTTAACTTGCTTCCCATGATACATGTATACATTTGTAGATTAATGGGTTTTCTACACAATGATATCATTAAATATCAGGTTGGGTCTGCACCAAACAGATACATGTTTGTAGGCAAACGGACCCATATACCCCTTCTTGTTGTTTGTCTGCCATTACTGGACATCAGAAAGCTTCCCTTAAAATTTTTACGTCACAATAGAATATGTACGACGCCACAAAGGAAAAATGATTTTTTTTTGTATCAGTATGACGTCAATAGTTCAAGTGTAGCCGATTCCAAAAATAGCCATAATGTCTTTTTGATAAAACTGAAGCCTTCACTTCTAGTCCATTTTATTCCAAGTCAAATGACATGCAGTCCTGAATATGCATGATATACATTTCCCCCTTGACATTATACAAACAATAATCATTTTGTTTGTGTGTCACGAATAGAAGTTCCTTCATAATATAAGTTCCAAATGGAAACAATATTCTGGAATATTATTTCCACTGGAATAAATATTACAGTAAATGTTCCTAACGGAATAAATGGTATAGAATATTTGTTCCAACAGGAACAGATATTATGACATTGTTTATAACAAAGTTTCCAGTGGAACTTCTGTTATGCGGAACAAATATACGTTGACATGTGGACCTGTAAAGGGATTTCTTGTCTGGAGTGATTTTCTGATTTGGTTGCATAAGAAAATATCTGCAGATACAGAATCCCAAAGGGGATTACTGCTATTCCTATCAAGGATTCAGAATTCAGAGCAGTTTTATTTTTATTTCTGAACAGGATGGAGATTACAATTTGACTGAATTCTGAAATTAGTTATCTGCAGTCAAATTGAAAATATAATTCAGAATCCAGATAGGAAATGATTGAATCAATAGAGCCAGGGGTGTAGATAGTAGATCCATAAATCTTAAGTGCAACACATGGCCTAGGGATTCTTAATTCAGAACGCAATATGCTCTCTATCACATGGCAATGAAAACATCGGGGAAAAATATTCCCCAAGACTAAACGTGTGGATTTAGAGGTTGATGCATGGTTATGAATAAAACTAAATAAATACCATGGAATTCCAGTTTTTTCGAAGCTGTCTTTGCTTTCTCTGAAAGGCCTGCCGTTTACAGAACCACCGGGCATGATATATTTCTGTACAAACGTATTTTTTTTATAAATTTGTCAGTGAACACAAAATGTCATTTTCTGTGACGAAAAACTAATGACTGCTTACAAATCGGAAAAGGCATGAACTTACTCCGGAATTTTCATAATACAGATATCTTTTTTTTTACAGATATTTTAGGAATACCTGCAGATACTCATACACAGATTGTATATTTTAGACCTCATGAACTTGAAATTCTTTAATATGATATCAAATTAGAAAGTATTATGCAAACTCTGTAATGAGGAAATAGAAGATGAGATTCATTTTCTTTTAACAGGCAAAATATTTAATGAAAATAAAAAAATATATATTCTATAACCATGGACTTTTTATAATAGCAATATATGTCCGCCCGGACATATTTTACCCGGACAAATTTATCTCTTACATTTGTAATAACACGTGTGTGTTATAGAAGTCTCAGGTAGGGCCAGAATGAAATTCAAACTGGCGGGCCTAGTAAATCAAATATTTTGGTTGTGAGAAAATGCAAAATGAAAGATGAAACTTTTGAGGAAGCGAGGGAAAAATACCAACGGTTGGAAGTTTGGTGCTTCACTAGCAGACAGTGTTAAAATCAAAGAAATACAAAAGGCGTAAACAGTTGCCGATTGGCTGTCGAAGATAGAAAAATAATATGCCTGCCTGGAAGATACAAGGTTCGGATATATATATCAGCAGTGTGTCTTGTCAAGAGTATTGTTATTGGTATATGAGTTTCCCGTGTCCAAAGATGAGGTTTATCAGACGAAGATCAGTGCGTACATATTTTTATTGTATTATATGTTTCTGTTGATAAAAAATCTCTTCTGATTTGGATAACGGGAAATCATGAAGATAAATATAAAGAATTTTGAAAATGATTTGTCAACTTTTACAGGTTTTAAAAGAAATAAGAAATACAATATTAAATAAGTTAAGCATTTATTTAGAGTTATGGAATAATATGCAAATACTGCATGTATTTACCATTAAATAATAATATATACAAAAATAAATGGTAATCGTTCTTTATAAGCTTCCGTTACGGTTGCATTGACCTTATTAAACTTCAAAAAGAATTGTAATTTATGCAAATATTGGTATATTGAATAACAACAGCAAACAGCCTGAACATATATTGAATCGCTTATTATACAATTGCACAAGTTTGTCCACTCTTTATAACGCTGATGTATGAAATCTACTTAGAAGGATAGTCACCGATGTTGGAGTGTTAAAAGACACGATTTTCTTTCAAATAAGCTGATTAGATAAGTACTCTGAACTTGCTTTCCGTGAGACCAATCATTCCTTGGTACGGGAAAAGCGTACATCAAATTGTTTTGATTGTTTAAAAACGATCTTTTTCGCCTTGCTCCTTTAGGATTGTTTGTCGCGGTGTTCAGCGCATATAACAAACAAATGTATTGGAACTAAGTGAAATATCTGATTTTAACTTCAGATTGAGCACACGTCATCATGTCTTAAAATTTGAACTGTTACAGTAAGGAAAATATTGAAAATCAATAGATATGAATGCCGGTTTTACAACAGGTGTTACTGGAATAATCTTCATCAGATAACTCGAGGCCAAATGCTTAGAATGCCAAATTCAATTCTTAAAAAGTAACAATAAAAAAACGTTAGATAACACAAATAAACGAAAGGACCTAAAACTGTAGACTTGTTGCCTGTCCTTTATCTCTTTTGTTTTTATAACAAGGGGGACTTAGATACATAGAAAACAAGCATACTAAAACAGATAACCGTCTAATTAGCCGCTTTAGAATCTTATGCATACTGGGTAATATTTTCAAAAGTGTACATCAAAACGTCGTGATTGTTTAAAAATGTCATGAACAATGGAAACCAATGACGTGACGTTATTTTCATTTTAGGCGTAGTCTTTTAGATTCTGAAACCGCCAATTAAAAGCCAATTTTTCTGAGGGAGCTACAACCTTAGCTTTGAGACATATACTAAAAACATCATGACAATACGAAAGCACTTCAAGTGCTTCAATAGATTGTTGAAGCATTCATTGAAACTGTAATCTTTTTGAACCATTCTTATATCATTGTATTATTACATAACATTGCACATATAAATGTTAAAGAAAAATCCTAATTTTTTAATACGATTATGCTCGAAATATTTTCAAAAGCGTTCACCAAAACGTTGTGATTGGTTAAAACATCATAAACAATTGTAATTCAACGAATGATGCGAGTTTACTGTCATTATGGGGTACAAACATGCAGTACACATGAAATTGTACAGTCAAAGGAATGTCGAATCTTTTGTTGTCTCCTAAGCCAATTGTTTTTCTACTCTTTTAAAGACCTTAAGAGCAAAGGAACGATACTCCTTAACACAGTCCTCAATGACATACAGCAATCCTTATACATGCATAAATCATAAATAAAGCTATGTTTTGTCCGTCGTAAATGATGCTAATATATTTCTCATGCCGTAACATCAAATATATATGTTTGAAAAAAAAAGATTCGTATAGGAAGAACAAATGCCCATCTTTAATAATGAATAGTTCCAATAGTGAATAAAAAAAAAGTAAAGGTACTATTTTTCTTATTTGAAGTTAGAGGCTTTACGTCTGGAATGGTCCAAAAATGTCATTTGTTAAGTATTTAGCCTACACTATCTTGGCCGGTATATTAAATCTAATTACTGATGACCATATTGTTTTATATATAATAATTTTATACAAAATTGACGTTTACTCCACATCTCATTTTATTGACATTCATACTATAATCCTCTTACTCACAGTTTTCTTATGCATCAGCAAAACATGTTGTAGAATGATAATATGTTATTATAATTCTCATTATTATAGAGTATTTATGATTTATTATTAACAGGCGATGGCTCTCATGCGATTTTTAAAAGCCAAAGTTGCTAGTTTGGATTTTATTGTCAGTAATTTGAGCGAATTCTTTAGAGAATTAACAGTTAATTAAGGTGTAAATAAACCATGATTTTTCGAAATGGAATGACCACTTTAAAGTAAATACATTCTAGAACATATAGCCGTAATCATATATATATATAATGTACAAAGACATAAGTTGACAATCCATACCCTGCTAAGTTACTGGATTACGGTTGATTATTATCTAATAAAAAGATGTTATTTACGCTATATCCAAGAGTTCCATTTGGACTAAACATCATTGCCGGACCTGTTATGTCGTATTTGTCAGCATTGATGAACATTTGTGTAATTATTGCTCTCTTTGACCGCAAATTAAGATCGCCAGCAACTATTGTAATGGAAGGATTGGCTCTGGCAGATGGATTGACTGCATTATGTACTTACGGCATGGAACCATACATTAATTTATTTTATAAAACCATTGATGTTCCTGGTTCACCTACCACCGTTGACTTCTATTCATTTGAGCATGAATCTGATTTGAAAATTTCTATTTTGGAAGCCAAACAGCTGATTGAACTGAAATATCCATTATGTGCAGTACATTATTTCTTACATCTCTTCGCCGACAACTTTCACACAGTGTCTATTCTTTTGACAGCTTCACTCGGAATGCAAAAGCTAATAGTTATAGTATGGCCTTTTTGGAGTCGAGTTAATTTGACCAATCGAAAAACAGCTGTTGTTTGTGCAATTTGTTTTCTATTTTCTATGGTAATCAATATCCCAAGAATGTTTGTAGTTAGTCTGAATTCTGACAAAGAAGATTCGTGTATAGTGTCTCAACCACAGAAGGTGATTGAAAGCTATGTTTTGACTATTTATCCAATTTTGTTTGCAATCGTACTTATAAGTGCCGTTATAGCCATGATGGTGTCTACATGTATTATAATCATAATTTTGTATCGCCGTAAACATATTAGAGGTCATACAACACTTTCAAAATATGAAAGGAAATCATGTCTGTTGGTTGTTATTGTGATGATTGTTTTTTTACTGTCAGAAGTACCTCGAATTTATCTCAATACGATCATATTTGATACTTATAGGTCTAATATAAATAAAGAAAACATAGCATCGTACAAAGTCTACACAGAAATACAAAACCAAATGACAGGATGTTTCGAAAACATAGAAAATAAGTATGTATCGGAATTGAATATAAAGAGAGAATTATCATCTTGTGCTAGAGTATCATTAGACCCTGAAATACAAGCAAGTATTATAGAATGGGTTGACTATTTTAGAGAAGGGGTGTCTGTCCACATGTCGCTGATAAAAAGAAACCTGAAAGGTAAACTAAAATCAAATTATACAGATTTGATATGGACGCTAGGACAAAAAGTCGATTCACAACTAGATTTTGGCTTCACACTGCAATTCCATACTTTTTTATCAACTTTGTACTGCAATAACGTAACCGAGGATGACGTTTATGATACCATAATTGACTTTGAAGGTATATATACAACCTCATGCGATGAAAAAATTGTCCCTGTAATGTATAACCGTTTGCCTTTTCTTATTTTAGGATCAACACCGTACTCTGAACCTATGAACTATATATTAAACATTATCTGGGGTCATGTGGATATTAGTTTAGAAGATTTGAAATTATTCACAGAAATTTTGAAATTTTCAATGATTGTGGGATGCGGTTCTAATTTTGTGATTTATATTGTTATGAGTGGAAAGCTTAGAGAAGCAATATCGACGAAATTTAAGTGTTGCAAACGGTAAAAGGAGTTTACCTGCTAGTACTTTGTAGATATGCATCACTTCAGTTATTGATGTCAGGATGATTTTGAAGTACCACAATTAATCTAATTCATTTATTGTGTTTGTTGCCTACATATAAATATTTTTGGTATTTTGTTTTGTTCAGATAGTAGTATTAATTGGAAATTTATTTGGAATTTTATCTTTGATTTGATCTGTTCTCATAAGTCAGTTTCGAAAAATAATCTTTCAAATGCTTTAATCAAAAACAGATTTAATAACTTTAATATATTATAAAATTGCCTTTCAATACCATCATTGTCATGAAAATAAATTGTTTGGACAAGTATTGTGAAAATAATTGTATAAAGTTCG